TACATTAATTAGACTAGAGCGGTTAAAGTTGAAAACCAGTCCGAATGCTTAATAGCGTTGTTGCCTGGCGAAACAGACGGTTAGGCATAACGAGGTGAAAACGAGGCATTATAATCATACAATTTTCATGTTTCCACAAAACCTTACATAACCATAAAAACTACACTTTGCACAGTGAGAAAATACTGTACAAAAATAACTTAATAAATAGAACCGACTTAATCACGAGTTTTTCCTACTGGCTTTCGCCATGAAATGTAAAAATTGAAACGATACCGTGACAAATTGCGGTAAATTTTGATCGGTAATCAGTCTGTACCGAAGCAGCTAAGTGATTTTCAGTTAAGGTTTATGTTTGAATTAAATAACTTTCACAGGCAATTATTTTTTTCATTCGCACAAAGTTTATAATACTAGTAATATAAATTCACGCTGTCGTGGAACGTACATGTACGCTTTTATTCAAACTGAAAGTTATTTTTATTCTTCCATATCACTAAGCACTACCCTACACGAACACAAAATAATTGAGACGAGAATTAAAGTTATGTGAAGTGCAATAAAGATCAGGGCCCGTTTTTGAAAATAAAAAACCATACAGTTATGGGATAATCTACAATAATTAATACAATGACAGCAAACTCAAAATTAAGCAATCAATTAGGAACTATATGTTCGAAATCTTATATTTTCATACAAAGATATCTTGTCCGGATGGTTGTCATTGTTGGTCAAATAAATGACCTAAGGCATATTTGCAAATAAATTATAATGTATTATACAATATGTACTAAATTAAAGTTGCAGAGCAATTTTAGGCAGGATTTATCATTGAGTATCAGATGAAAAACAATTTACAATTATCCTCTCCAAGCTCTTTCATTATTGCACCATTATAAGTAAAGAGATTCGTAATAGCATTATCAGTTGAGTAACTAGAGAAATAAGTCGGTTCCTAAATCCTTACACAATCACATTTTAATTCAAATTACAAACCCTTTTCAGATTTTAATCAAGTGCGACTTCGACGGAAAGTAAAAATCAGTTCTCAAAAGTGTGAATTTCAACAATGAATTCTGAAATAACATAACAAATTGCTTATTTCTGTTATATCTTATTCCTAAGAGGCGGATTATCGTCATGAGCGAAAAAAGTTATTCCTAAGTATTTTTGTGGCTCATCATCTTCACCGATTTAAAGCAACTGTTTACCCCAAGGAACGTAAATATGTTCCTGAACATAAATCCAACAAATAGTAATAGGGAAGGAAGTGCACTTTCACATCAGGTTCGAATGTCACGTGATAAATTTCCGATGCTGTGCTGTTTCTTTCAGCATGATAAGCTTCTTGGACAAAATAATTTAATATATTATTTAATGTTATAATTCAAATGATTGAGGTCTTTAATTATTCATATTTAAGGACCCAAAAATATAACAAGATTTAATACACTAAATGTAATCATATGTCGCTGAACTTGAAAACAATTTATTCTAAATAATTTAATATACGATCAATTCTAGACATAATACATCATTTCAAATGAAATAAGAACTAAATCGTGTAGTGTAAACATCACCACTGGAACCAAACCACTGGGGTGTCGTTTACAATTATTTATTCGATAACGACATCACCGTAACGAAGTCCTAAGACAAATATTATGCATTTACCGACATTAATTATTTTTCATTCGTAAGATCACGACCCCTTGGTCTTTTCCAGATGTTTCCAGGCTTTTCCAAAAAAAAATGAATAAGTATTGTATAATATCTGATCATCCCCATCAGCCTATCGCAGTCCACTGCTGGACATAGGCCTCTCCCGTTGCACACCACTTAGATCAATTTTCGGCTTCAATAAATTAATTCAGTTGTTTTTGTTGTAATGGATATAAATTATTATGCTTACAAATCCCTTGTGAACTCGACCAATTTCAACATTATCATTAAAAATTAACCCATAACGAATTGTTTTACTTCATGTTATACATCACTAGTCAGCAGTGATGTCATTACCGAAAAAAAAAACGGCACCATAGTGGTGTGGTACAGTGGTGTCGTTTACAATGCACGAACTAAATTATTATAATAATCTGAATCATAACACAAAAATGCGTCTTTGGTTCGAGTTTTCATTTTAATGACATTGACAACATTTCATTATTGAATAACACTGTATGGATTATATTTAGTTTCATGATATCATGTTATAAGGGAATAAATTGCAATACGCCGTACTAGTTGAAATTTACTTAGTTTTTTAACGTAATAAATAAATACATTTACCAATATTTGTACAAATGAGGTCCATATAATTTTATTGCAAAAATAACAAATATTTCATACAAAAAAATGTTTTTGTTTGAAGCTCATCCGACACAAACAGAATTTGTATAGTGGTATTGAAAGAAGGTATGAATATTTTGTATTAGGCACGTCGCCAGTAACTCTTTGGTTCTATGAATATAGTCAGAACGTGTCTAAAAAAGTATATGTGCATATTAGTCGAAGATGGAAAGGTTTGGATTAGAGCACAACTTATATTTATTAATTTACTTTTTGCTACTCAAAGACAACAAAACTAGTTTTACTGCGGATATTATTGTAGGTTGGACTTATATTTATATATATATAACTATCTAGTATTTATAACTATCGAGTTTGTCAGAAAATAATCAGCGTGTAAAACAATTATACGGACAATAGCATCAAGCGCTCGTCAGGATTACAGCAGCGCCTAACCACTTAAACCAATTAAATTTTGTGTTATTACTGCATGATTTGTAGAAATTAAAATAATTATTGCGACAGCATACCTAATTACAATTTATAAAACAACCCATCAAAATAGCGTGAATGATTACAAAAGCACACGTAATAATTAGATTTGCTGTAACACTAACGAAACTTATGAACATTTAAAGATTAATTGGCGTTGTTATAATACACATCTAGCATCACATTACTGCTGCCATAATAGATTACATTACTATATCACCCTGATTTTTATGTAATTTTAGGTTTAATAGCATTAGATCAAAATATTATTAAGACATTAAACACAAAATTTCACATACGGTCAATATAGATAGCTGAGATAACGCAAGTGGAACTACTGCGAGTGCCTAAATCTAAGTATATAATTTTATGGTAGTATATAAATTCATTTAATAAATCGATTAGCTAAGTATAGACATCGTTCAATAAAAATTATTTTGAGGTGTTTAATACTACAATGTAAATAGTACTTGTAGCAGAGCAACGTCGAATATAAAATACGGAGCTGTAAGAGCCGACAAAAATAAAACTTGAAATAAACCCCATACCAGCCCGTCCGGGCCAGCGTGGTATAGTAGGTCAAAACCTCCTTTCTAAGGAGAGGCCTATGTCCCGCAGTGGACTCGTAAAGGCTGTTGACGATGACGAATTCAAGTGATATTGCCCTAGATAAGTATTGTGAACCATTTACCTTTAGTACCACTGCCATTGATTTGCAAAAATGAGCATCTCAACTGGTGCTGTCATTCGTTTTAATTATATTCAAGGCAATATTACCTACATAAAAGATCTAAGTCAAATAGACACATGCATGAATATTCTACAACTAAATCATGCATATACAAATGATTCGTAGAGTCGATCCCGTGATTTCTTTGCAGTCTTCCGCCAATTAGGTAGTGAATTTATTTTTCTATTGATTTTATTGTTTATATCAGCCCGTGTCTCCATCTATCTCGTCCGTTTCTCCTTTATGAACGGTACGTTTTGTATATTACTATTTTCGTTCTGTTATTATCGTGACCCTTGCATTATCTCAGTCTTTCTGTATCCGTGAATAATACGTATTACCGATTAAGAGCTAACAACTTCTACTTTGAGACAGTTGTATCTGAAACAACAGCTGTTAAGAGATTGATTATTATAAATAGACACGGTCCAACGCTTGCACCTGTGTGTCTTCCCTCACAATATTGTTAGTACTAAATAAATGTGGGTGAACACACAGACACATTAATTAATATTTTTCGCTTTACTTTGAAATAGTGCAACGAGAACCTTATCTTATATAATCCTGTATAAAAATAGCGTGTCAATTTATACTAGACAATTTCTATTTCTACTGTACCTTAGATACTTCTTAAATATTTAAAATGTATTAAAATTTCATTTAAGCTTTTAGATAGCCATATTTAGTAATTGGCTTTATTAGCATTGATATTGATTGCCTATAAACCTAATGAACTATCTTACATAGTCATCAAAGGTATTCTAAATTTAGTCAATAGTTAATTTATTGCAATTACAGTTAATAAAAAGTTAACAATAATGGTGATTTCTTTATCACAACGCGATTAACGATATCACTTCAAGATGAAGTTATTTTCATTCCTTACAACATTTGCGCAATGATGTAGGTACTTTTAAAACTTCTAATGCAAGTGTTTTTCCAATTCATAACCTACGAAAATTCAAATGATCTATTCTATACAAACTCGATACACGTATAAGTACAATATCCAAAATTGACGAACGCTCAAAGAAATGATTAACATTATTCAGACAAGAGCTTTCCGTAACATCGACAAACAAAACACATAAAATAACAAACATTCATCAAACGACCGGCGTAAGAATGATCCGCTGCATCGTCACCGAATCGTGTATTTCAGACTCTAAGACCTAAATGAACACATGAAATACAATATGACACGGCGTTAACTCCCGTGGACGCCGAGCGAAACGGCGACATTAAACTACATTTAAATAATTACACATCTTAAACGTAAAATAAACTCAATATTATACATAATTACATTATATATTCGAAAAAAAATAACAAAAATCGACAGTCAACATCCGAGGAGGTCGGAGCCGTCGCGCGTCGGACGGGGCTCTCCGACTCCAGTAAGCGTCCCACATCGGCAGTGCTACGTTTCAGGTCGCCTATCGCGCCTGCGCGGCCGGCCTGGCGGCGGGCGGCGCTAGGGCGGCGCGCGTCACATGGGCGGGCGCTCCCAGTCCACGGCGGGCGCCGCGCCCCCCCACGCGCCCCACCGCTCGCGGCGAAAGAAGCGCTTCTTGAAGTGCGCTGCCGGCGGCGAGCCCGCCGCGCGCGCCGCACCGCTCGGCGCCGCCGAGCCCGCCTCGCCGTGGCCGATGCCCGAGTCGGGCGACGTGTTGCACGCCTCGTCGGAGCGGCGCCGCTTATCCTCCATGGCCGTGGACGCGAACGATATGATCTGGTCGAACCGGAACGCTATCCGGTCCTGCCACTTGCTCTCGTCTACCTCCTCGCCGCCCTCGCCCTCTGTAACGGAGCGGTTGGTGAGTCGATCGGGCGGCGCGGGGCGAGCGCGGGTCCCGGGAGGCGTGGGCGCTTGCGCTTTACCTGGCATGCGCGCGCCGTCGGGCAGCTCGTCCACCAGCGGTGTGGACGTGTTAGAGTGCGGGTCGGCGGGCGGCGAGCGTCGCTTGCCGTCGTCCGCCTCGCCTCCCGCGTTTCGCCCGCGCCAGTACTCCGACGCGAGCACGCGCGCCTGTAGGCAAGCCGCTAAACCTGCACGATACCATGTGACACATTACATTACATATCATGCTAGTACAGGGATAAAAAGGTACCCTACTTAAAATTCAATCAATCACCTGTATCACGAAGTGCGCCGAGGAATTCCACGGACAATTGTCCGATATGAACCTGCCGCAACTTTCCACCATAGTTCCACGCGGCAAAACTTTCATCCCTATTAAATGATACAGACTACTTGTCGAAGTTCGATACCAATACCAAGCAAAAAAATACCAAGCTGTGGAACAAATTAGGGCCTGCGGTATTTCCAGACAGATACGACTTTCAAGAAAAAAGAGTAATAGTTCCTTAAAGGCCGGCAAGACGCTTGTTACACCTGATTTCTTTGCGTTCATAAGCGGCGATTGTCACTTTCCATCAGGTGACCCTGCTCGTTTGTACCCCCTATCATAAAAAAAGATCGATCAAGATTTCCTTAGATTTTGCCTTAGTAAATACAGATTATCTTTTGCAGTATGAAAATAAATATCAGAGGTATTCCCACACCGTGGATGATCATACAATATTATATGGGTTTACTGCCTACCCTTATCCCAATTTTACTTGGGGTCGGCGCAATAAGTATGATTCTTCCATTCTACTCTATCATTCGTCATCTGTCTGTTTACTCCCTACCTAACCATATCCTTAATCACACAGTCCATCCCTTCAGTACCCTTTAACTCCCATATCTAACACTTTCTTGGCCACATTTTCCTCATCCCTCCGCATGACATGTCCATACCAAGATAACCTATTACTTCTTAGCTTTCCATCCAGTGGCGCCATTTTCAGAATCCCTCGTATATATTATACCCATTCCTAACCTTGTCCATCCGAGTCACACCACTCATTTCGCATCACAGCATTCGCATTTCGGCTACGTGCAGGTGTCTCTCATAGGTTCTCTTAATGTACCAACTTTCAGAACCATACAGAACGGCAGGGCCTCAATTATTATATTTTATGTTCACGCCAAGCCACTGTCATACCGCTGACACGCTATTGAGATGCCATCGAGTGGCCAGGCATCGTTATAAATATCGGTAGTCTACACTAATTCAGTGTCTTTGGCACTGCAGTAGCAGTGCAAAAATCAAGAGCAATGCCTAAGAATGCCTAAGCATTTCGTAGTATCCAGTAGTTCCAACTCGTCTACTTTTACCGTTACAGTGTTTATGATACGTTTTACGTTTGGAGTAGTGATCTTAATACATTTAGTATTTTCTTCATTATACTCTTCATTCGCTTACTTTGGTAAACTCTAAAACGTACTATTAGCCAAATATAAATATATACAATCATCATTAATTGACTACTTATCCAAGTCATAAAAAGAAAACCAAAGCATAAGACGTAAGTTAGGGTTAAACCAGAGAAACTTAAAATAGTAGCAGTGTGTGGTGAGTATAATGAGTATTATCGGCAAAAATAATGTTATCTTTTGGTCTATTGCTGCAGCAATGATATTTAGCATTTCGATTGACTTTTCGTAACAATAACAACACACCAGGAAGGCAAATTATCAAAAACGACCAAGATGATAATATATGACTTATACTAAATTGAACTTGTACAGTCTAGTGTATTGGCAAATAGTATCATTTTGTCAAGCCGTCTAGTGACCAAACCATAGCAACTATGATTTAATATAATTCGTAATTTATTGTAAAAACTTGCCTTCAAGCGGTTGGTTAGCGGCGGCCGGCTCGTGGTAGCGCGCGCTCATGTTGACAGCTGCGTTTATTATGCTCTGGTTGGAGATTTCGAGCGTGCGCTCGATTTCACCGTTGACGAGGTCGCCTATGGTACGCGTACCAGGGGCCGCAAGTCGCTCTTGAGACAAGTGTCGCCGGAGCGCCAACTTCGCTGGAGACACCTGCGAGCGGTGCAAACACGACATAATGAGCCGCTGGGGCAAACGCAACGGATCGGCGGATCGACGAGGCTGAGACACGGACTCACCTGCGTGTAGTCAGGGAGCGGGGCGGCGGACGCGGTAGGTGCGACGTGATGGCGCAGGTCAGGAGGGCGGCGCTCGTAGGACGGGTAGCGCTCGCGCCGAAGGTCGCGCGACGCGCGGTAGGCGCCCGGCGGCGCGACAGGTGGCGGTGCCCCGCGTGGAAACGAATGCGGTGCGCTGCTCTGTCGCACGAATCCGTTAGTATAGGCGTGGGCGGGTGCTGAGGGCCGCGTCGTCGCTTTCCGCTGCTCTTGGTCCTCGTTCAGCACGGATGTAATTATGCTCTTCAGCCTGTCCTCGAAGTTGATCACCTTCGGCGATTCCTGCACTTTAGATACCACGTTGAGAGGTTTCTGGTGTTTAACGGGAGACTGACGGTGTGCTAGTCCCGCCGGCGGTTGTGCCGGTCGTTGCGGCTGTGTCCGGTGTATTGGTGTGGAAGCTTTTGGATGTCGATGATGATCCACGTGCCTGTCAGAGTCCCGCGGATACCCGTTTACTATTACGTTAGGCTTAATTATTTTGCCTGCCTCGATTTGACGTCCCGTCTCAAGTATCTTTTGCGCGAGTAGTTCGGGATTCTGTTCTTCTATTTTTCCAACTTCGGGAACATCCGGCCACTCCTGCGACCGTGATCTGTGTTCCCTAGATTTCCTAGGCTTATTGTTAACTGTGTGAGGTTTGACTGTAGCTACTGGTACCGTCGGTTGCGTAACCTTTTGTTCACTCGCTCTCTCCATTTGAATAATTTCATTTTGTAAGTGACCTACCTGTGCGTGCAACCTTTTCCGATGTGCTAATGTAGCAGATATTTCCTTTAAAATGCAATCATGAGCTATACTCTGAGTGATCTCGACATCCGGGGGTATATGACCTAACTGACGATACTTTTCCGTTATTTCAAAAGTCCTTTGTTTAACAAGCATTGCTTGCTCGGCTTCTATATTGTTAACCTAAAAGTAAAACAAATAATCAATAGGGGATAATACAGTAGAATGAAATACATTATGTTTTTAAATACACAACTCATATCTGATACATTAAAATTAACAAGTTAATAGTAAAATATTAATGATAACTAGTTTTGTATTCATAGAAAAAAACGGTAACTGAAAATAAAGTAACTTCAGTTGAACGTTATTATACTTTTGCGTTGAGTAGAATCTAATAGTTTAATAGTCCACTGCTGGACATAGGCCTCCGTTTAGTCAGAAGGTTTTGGCCTACTATACCATCCATGCTGGTCAGACGGGGGTTGGTATAGGGTTTGTTTCAAGTTTTATATATGTTCAATATATTTATTTATTATATTAGCCGTGTGGTGACGGAGTAAGAATACGTGTCACCGTCACCACCCCTATTCATCCCGTGGGTGTCGTAAGAGCCGACTACGGAAGCAAACTATGCTGGATAACAGCACTGCAAAGAGAAAGAAAACTTTAGACCAACTCATCTGGCCAGCGTGATATAGTAAGCTACAACCTCCTATCTAAGGAGACCTATGTCCAGCAGTAGACTATTAATGGCTATTCATAATGATAATGAATATATATATTTGTTGTTATATATCTATATTGAAATACAAAATCTTACTAACTGTACAAGCTTTGACGACACCAACAATTGTTTTTGTGTGTCATGTATGTATTTGTATGTGTGTACACACACAGTGTATGCGTACGATCTAAACGACATGAAATATTGTAACGTATGCAATACGAATGTTAAAAAATCATAGAATACCTGAGCTTGCAATTTGCTAGCTTTGCTCTGTAGCTCTTTATGCCTTCCTACAATTTCCTTCGCTTTAGCCAGTAAATCCACCGTGTTATTAGCATGAATACCCAGCTCGCTCATTCTTGATTTTAACAGAGCAACACTATCGCTGATGAGCACGCTGATCTGTTTATCTAACTGAGACGCCCGCGACTTCAGCTTCTGATTTCTTTCCTGTATTAGATTACTTCGGTTTAATATAATATTGACAAATATCAGCATATCTAGCTAATAGTAAATGAGAAGAATAACAGATTAGAGATAAGGGCCATCGTACCTTTTCTTTATCTATCTGCATCCGAATGTCTTCGGCATATTCTGGGGTATTCATACGCTGGATAAAAGCGAGATACTGGTCCCGGAACATGTCCAGCAGAAGTTGCAGGCTATAAGGAGTGTGAGGGGAGCGAGGTATATCCAGCTCGGAGTGGAGACGATCCGCCGGTTGCAACTGTACGCCCAGAGCGGATAGGCGTTGTTCTACGCAACCCGGTGGAGGAGCTGTCACCTAAACAATAAAATCACAGCAATGGCAGTGGCATTGTAAACACGACTATGAAAATATGAACCTCAAGGATGGATAGACCAATTAATTTATTAGTTTATTGATAGATAATATATTAATTATACTATAGATTATATAGATACTGTCTTTATTCGTACTGGTTTTTTTTATTCAAAATATAACATTAAAATAAAGAGTATCCCAATTTCAACTTGTAAAATTTTTCTTAGTCATTATTCTCATTTCATTATTATTTATTCTTATGTACACAATTTAACATTTACAGAAATACGTGTAATACATAAAGGAGTAGTGTGCACAAAAACCAGCTTAACCCATAAATGAGTTATCTTCCAGCAAACCTATGAGTGAACAGACGATAGCACAACAAGAGTCGTGTGTCCACAGAAATTTAAGAAAATATAAATATACAACTTAATAAATACAGAAATAGAAATATAAACAAAATAATCAAATATCATCTAAATAAACTATAATTTAACATATGTTTACACATTACATTAAAATATTAGTCATAAATCTTTCTTTTCTTTTTTTTTAGACAACTCCCGCCTTAGGAATATATCCTGTGTCGCGGGGGACTTTACAAACATACATGAAACAGACACAAAGAATACCCAGACCCAGTTGGTTAATAAAAATAATCTTTATTTATGACAAGTAAGGGTAAGTATACATGTTAATACCTTGAATGAATTACTTTATTTTATTATTATTACAAAACTTCGTTATTTAATGAGAGAAAGTAACAAGTGTGAGAGATAGTAAGGCTGGCCCAAGTGTACAAAGTAGAAGTCATTTTTTTGTTTAAAACGAGTTGCATCTTCTATTAATTATAGATTTTAATTCAAAAGATAGATTTTAACACAGAAAAACAAACATTACAAAATCGAGCTGTACAACTTTGTAATGTTTTTTTAACCATAATGTTGAAAAGACCCAAGTCCACTGTTTGGAGTGTGTATGAGCAGGAATACTTACAGCACCGTTGTGCAGAGTGGAAGCTAGCGTGGTGGAATGCAGCAAATCGAGGCCAGCGATGGCAGCGGGTGCAGCGCGGCGCCGCTTGGCTCGCGCCGCTCGTCTCCGCGCGCCTCCGGCGCTTGCACTCCGTTTGCTCGCCGGCCGACGAGTACGATCTGTAAAGACAAAGACACATGACTGCCAAATAACATGACTGTTAGTCGCTGATTGAACAACGTCTTCAAAATTAGGTTTTGATTCAGATTTTAATATTAGGTCTGAAAACCCGGTTCGTCGACGCAAACAATTTTTTTTGTTTGATTTAAAGGTACAAATACCTAATGATTTATTTGGCAATTCGTTTTTACGACTTATAGTTAAACCGCCGTAAGCTTGGCCCTCCTGATGGTTTGCGGGACGCGGGGCGGGTGATGCGCTCGGCTATACATTTGATTGATTGATTTGATTTAATCTACACACGATGTAATAAAAATCGAATTTATTTCCATGTATTATAATGTCAGTGTATTGTAAGTTTTTATGATGTAAAATGTACTGTAAAATAATTTTAATAAAATCACCTTATCTTCATTATGTAAATTATATTCAGATACAATTTAAAAATTAAGTAAAATAATAAATATTCTTTATTAGAACTTTAACAGTAGTAAATATTCTTTATTAGAACTTTAACTTCAAGTTTTTAAATCTTTTTGTGAGTCGGCAGATTATCCATGTTGCAAAATAATACCGTGTGTAGCAGTCTTACGAAAAATAACACGTACGGCCATGCTTTCACGTCAGTCACTGCCGGCGGACAGCGACGCACTAGCTAATTGGTTGAATTCACCTCCGCCCCGCGTCCCTCAAACCATCAGGAGGGTCAAGCTTACGGCGGTTTAACTATAGTTGTGTAACGAGTTCTAAGATTTTCTATTATGTACTTGAGTCTGATGAGGAAGCCCAAGGTGCACCCCATTCGCGGGGTGCCGGTTCCGGCCCAGGCGGCGCGTCGTCAGTCCCGCTGGACTCCTCGTCGCTTTCGTCACTGGACCGGCGTACGACGCGCCGTTTTGCAACTGCGGCGCGCGCCCTCGTTCTACCGTTCTCGCCTCTGCATATAATGTTACATAATATAATTAAATTTGTTTTCTGGTTTAAAATGAATTTGTATTTAAAAAAACGGTAGTACATACATAATGTACGTATAGGGGTGGACCATGTACCTGTGTATTACACATATTTGTATAGTGGGTAAAAACAAAATCTTATACATATATGCAGCTATTTATATTCTTGTTCCAAGTCACTTCCTCATCGGCCGTGCCTTGACCTCCCTGCCATCGCCTTCCATGTAAGGCCTTAACGAGGCCAGACTAGATCGCTATCAGAGACTTGAAGCTATACGTCAACATTTTTGGAAGCGCTGGCAGCTAGAATACGTAGCTGAGCTCCAACAGCGAACAAAGTGGCGCAAACCAGACCGCCCTATTCAGCTGGGTGAATTGGTGCTTCTTCAGGAGGACAACGCGCCCCCTCTGCATTGGCATCTCGGCCTAATTTCAAGACTTTTTCCTGGACCAGACGGGATTTCACGCGTGGCTGACGTTACTACTACTACTGGCACCTATTGACGAGGTGTGAACTACCTCTGCCCCTTATTGGACGAGCCTACAGAACCGTTGAAGACTTCCGTCTTCAAGGGCCCCCAGGATGTTCACGCCGTGTCTTAATGGTGATGCGGCGGAAGGAGTTTAAACCGGTTACTAGCTGGTTATGCGATCGCCCCACCTTCACCTCTAAGCGCCGACATTCGACGATTTTTTTTGCCTATGTACACACGTCTTATATTATGTACTAAATTTTATAAACATTTCGAATATTGTAATTTTCGCTAATTATAATACAACTGAATGCTTGGCCTATGTCCGGCAGTGGACTGCGATAGGCTGATGATGATGATAATGATGAATGCTTGGAGCGTCTGTGTTTCAATTAGCCAACCCAAGCCACCAATATTCATCAATATTTATGACCTACGCAGGACAATAACATTGCAGAGAGAAGGAAAACTTGAAACAAACCCTATACCAACCCGTCTGGCCAACGTGGTATAGTAGACCTAAACCTCCTTCCTAATGAGAGGCCTGTATTCAGCAGTGGATTTTTAAAAGATGATGATGAGTGTCGCGACTTGTGGTAACGCAGTTTAGAACAATACTCTTTAATCTGAATACTGGTAATATTCATTTTTGTGTTAAACAGGAGTTCTATCATGATTTAACATCTTCAAGTGAGAAAAAAAAAATCACGGAAACTGGACCCGGCAGTCGAGTTACGGTTTGCCCCCGTATATTTATTAAAATCGACAATCTAGGTGCTTTTTTGTGGGTTTCTGGGTGGGTTTTCTTTTTAGCAACTCAAAAAAAATTGAGTCGCATGACGTCTGGCAGGTGTGAAAGATGGAAATTATTTTGTAGAATTAATGAGTATAAAAGGATAGCTTATGAAAGGAAATAACAAACGAAACAAATCATCAACTGCGAGTTTGTCCTCCCTCTTAACTATTCTAGTCAAAGGGATGTTCAGTATAAAATCAAACCTACAAAAACTGAAGACTAGAAGCGCCCGCTCCTAAGCACTTCTAGTCTTCAATTTACAACTTAACAGTTTATACGCGTCTGATATACGAGTACTCACCGGACAGGCCTAGACCGAGCCACTTTACCCCGTCGCTCAGGCAGGGATGCAGTACTGTGATTACTATTGCCGTTGAGTAAGTCTGGCGTTGGTTGTCTAGTTGGCGGGGCACTCAGGTTACGCTTGCTTCCCTCGCCCTCCTCACATCCGTTATGTGAGCCCTGCAAAATACGTATTTCATAACAAATTACCTCTTATAGGGTACAAGAAAACAAAAACAAATGCAATATATATTACATAGTTCATTAACAAGAATTATTAAAATATTACCACAACAACTAACTTCAAGCACTACAAAGATTTTTTTCAGTATTTAAATCTCAAATCCCAAATGTAACAAATAGTTTTATTACAATTAATATAAAAATAAATAGTATTAGGAACTAAATTAAATTTTATATTGATATTTATATAACACAATCACTTGTTCTAGGTCTGGGCGTAATATATGTGTCGGCAGTCAGTGATTTTCGGCGACTGAGTTTGCAATAATTACGGATGGAAATTTAAAGTTGTAATTGTATTGACTATCGAAAATGATCTTATTTCTTTTTTTTAGTATTATCTGCCAGGCGAAACTTGAGTGGCCCTTGTAATGATAAAGCAAATTATATGGTTTAAATAACTCAATTTTGATATAAATTGCACAAATTTACAACAAAATAAAACATTTTATAGTTTCAATTAAAATTCCACTTATTTATATCTAAGTAGTAAAATTGATAGCAATAAAAACACTTAATTTGTAATGCTAAAACAGAATCTTAAATTCACGCTTTTAAAAACTAATTTTATAATTTCTTTATGGATATGCCATTAACTCCAAAGAGACTTGTCCAAGTAAAAACTGCTATTGGGGAATGTTATAGACATGTCCTATTAACTTTTCAATATACAGGGTTACTGGGTAAGTCGACCTAAATACTTTAAGGGGGTGTAGTTGCTATCATTTCTGATATATTTCACTATGAAATACCATATACCAAAAATAAACATTTTCAAGATATTGGACTAAGATTTTTTATAAAAATCGCCGAAATTTTGCCTAATACAATGTTTTTAGAACTGTTTTTGTGTATGTGATAAATTGTTTTATAATTTTAATTAATTAATTAAATTTAATTATTTAAAAAATTTCAATTACTAACTAACTAATTACGAAATAACTAACTAATTATAATTTCAAGTACTAAACTTAACCGACTGGGCCGAAAGTAGATGGTTCATTATAAGAAAAATAAATAAATTTGTAAAAAAAAAAGTTTTTTTTTGACAAATATTTAAAAAAAATCTATGACAGTTAAAAAGCAGTTCCGTTAAAAAAATATGTACGTATTCTCAGCTATCTAACGAGGTGTAATAGTCTAGGAAAGTATCAAAATTCATGTCATCATTCAATCATATTGTGTTGGACGGAAACTATCGACAAATTAGTGACCGGCTCTGCTTCAAGGCGACTATCTGATCTGGGTAGACAAGTTCCACTGATAAAGATGATAAGAAGACAACGAGATAGTTCAACGATTTAGATTTGATCCAACAACTTCAACCAATATTGTTGCCCTAGAACTTACGACTCTCACAATGGAAAGTGTGCTGTGAATATTGCGGGCTTATACTTACTACTACTACTTATTGTGAATATAGCATAAATCGGCAGAAATCCAACCTCTTCAAAGTAACTTGTACCAGTGGCGGATAGTGAAATGTCACTATCTGCCACTGGTACAAGTTACTTTGAAGAGGTTGGATTTCTGCCGATTTATGCTTAATGCAGATTTAGAAGACCCGTTATTTTTTTTTCAGAGACATTTCATGGACATGAGTGTAAATTTGATAAAACCAGTATAACGCAATTACCTCAGCGTTAATCATTGGGCGCCAAAAGCACTGATAAATGCTAATATAACGCGGATAAAGAGGCCAAAAAGACGCGAAAATTTTATTGGTTGTTTTATTCTCCCCGAGAACAGTACGAAAGTTTTACTAACTTAATTGATGATCTACAGCTTAATCTCATTCGCTATATGTGGTTGCAGCATGATAGTTGCAAGTGTAAAAGAATAGCTGGATTCTAATTATCGTAATAAGTGGATTGCAAGAGGTGGTTGGGTGGTTTGTGCGGATACGCGTTGGCGGTATCCGAAACAAATCATAATATCAGCGCTACGCATACGCAAATTTTTAACACCACCGGTCTTTCATCTAAGTTTTTTTTTATGAATTCTTGTACTATCCTAGACTATTATACCCTTTTAGATAGCTAAGAATACGTACAGGTTTTTCAACAAATCTGCAGTTTAACTGTCATAGATTTTTTTTATAATATTTGAAAAAAAAAAACCTATTATTAAACCTATTATTAAACCATCTACCCAGTTTGTTAAGTTAACTACAACTTTAGTAATTAATATTATAAAACAATTTATCAACTATACAAAAACAGTATAAAAAGCATAAAATAAATGATATAAGTTTTAAAAAATTTGAATTAGGTAAAATTTCGGCAATTTTTATAAAAAAATAAAAGCCCAATATCGCCAAAACCATTACGCTGAATTACTAGAAATACTTTTATAAAGTTTTAGCAGTTTGTATATTAACTATTTTTGGATTAAATAGATTGTTTTTTAAATTTTAACTTGTAACCATCATGAAATGTTACATTATTTGTAGCATTTTTCAACTAAATCAGTAATTTAATGTGGTTAAATACACAGGAGTTTGTCACATGAGGCATGCTAGCCTAAAAATTTGTCATTGGACTTCTGAGCAAACGTATGGCTAGGTAATACAAATATAGCTAAATATTCCATTGGTGTTTACTTAAACGTGTCTATTTACATCTAGTTTGTTGATATATTGATAACCATTGAACTAAATGACGTAATGCCTAACTAGCTATTTCAGTATATATTTAAATCTAACTTATATTTCCACAGACATAAAATTGTTTTAACTAACAAGCAAAAGATTTTCTTATACTACGTAGTATAGTGTATAAAAGATTTTGTGTCTCATGAAAACTGATCTAACGAATTGGATTAAATTAAGTATTCAGAAAAGGTTTTCTTTTAATTTTGGTCATATGAAAAAAACAATGAGTGAAGCTCGGTCGCCCAGGATGCTAAATTAAAAAAAAATTGTCATGTTCATGACAGTATTATATTGATTTCGCCAGGTCAGTATTCCAGAGATTGCAGATTTATTCTTTCATGCGTTAGTGCCGGGATATTGCAGAAAACATTTATAATAAAAAGTTATAGTGATTGGAACAGACCCTTTTGCTGACCTTGAGTTTCGGATTTTTCAGTCTTTGAAAATATCTCTCCAATTTGGTCCTATCTATAATGTGTAAATAGTAAGAGACTGGTTTTCCCGTCCACGAGACAGATCCTTTTAGCGGTGACATCTCACTGACATGCATGATAGTCCCAATGTCGCTTAGATTCCTGTCTGTTATCCTGAAGTTCAGTGGACAGAAACTTTTCGATGATACAATTTTAGCACCGTCTTTCAAATCGGCGAATCTTTCTTTTAACTGATGATCTACATGGGGCCCGAAAGCAAAATTATTCACAAAAACTATTGTCGCTGCATTTATTTTTTCTCTATGTTCATCCAATAAAAAGTCGCCTTTTATTAATTTATACTCTCCAACTTTCTTGCCGTACCATCTCATCCATGTTCTAAAATATAAATCCATGCTCTGAAAAATTAAAACGAAATATTTTAGCGATAATTAGGTGTTAATTATTACTACTTATTTATTATAAAATGGTGTAATAGTAGTCCTAAGAAATCTTACCTCGGCATATTTACTAGGAACTTCCGCCTTTTCAACACCAAGACAAACGCGGCAAGGTGTTGCGGCCGCCATTTGTAGCACCACCTGCCCTACGCCAGACCCCAAGTCCACGAACACATCTTCTGCGGTTATGTCAATTTGATCTATCATTTGACAAACTAATTCGTACGATGTTTCGCCATATACCTAATGAAATTACACTGATATTAAAATTTCAAAATCAAATTCAGATTATCATTGATAATAAAAAGAAACTGACCGGCTAATGCACATAACAATATGTTGAAAACGAATATGGGAGAAACTAAGAGGATATGGTTATGGGTTGTCATTTGTCACTTTCCATAAGTTTGTTAATAATACTTTCATAATAGATATACAAATTAATTGTATATATAATATTTGTATAATAAGCATATAAAATATAAAAATCAGTCACGTAGGTTCAAATAATCCACGCCATTGTATACCTAAACCATATCGACGTTATTCAAGGTTGGTCACAAGACAGAATAAGTGGCCTTCGTGAACAATAGGTACTAGTTACGTAATAAATAACTGTTAATACTAACCTCAGGTGAGAAGGGTTCGTACTGATTTAGTTTATCCGGGTCAGATACTGCTTGGTTATAAGTTTGCTGCAGTATGTGTTTTAACAAACCTCTTGATGGATACTTGTTTAACCGCTGAGCTGGTAAGGAAGTACCCTTTTCCTGTAAAATAACAAAGGCAAATCATTACTAATAATAAACATTATACATAGTACAAATGTCTACAAATTAACGTTCACAATTTTAATAAGAAATTTATAGATATGCATAAATAGATACTGCGCCATGTGCGATAATAAAACAGGTTTGGCGTCAATGAAACTAGTTGAAACCGACCAATGACATTCGAAGTATTTGAAATATATCCAGTTGTTGAAGGTTGCAGTATAATCAGTTCTAGCGTGTGCTGTTTTATAATTAAAAAATAAATTTATCGTGCCACTGTAGCGGTTTAATCTAAATTATAATATAAACTTGTTCTAAATAATGTTAATAAAGATTTGATCCAAAATGTATTTTATAAAGCAACTTTACTCGTCGGAAAACGATAACTTTTAATAATAGGTCCTGCCTCAACTGCGCGAGTTTCAATAAAATATAGGTAAGAAAATTGCCAACAGCAATAAAAAAAATGTGTATATATGTATATATTTATATTTTATTACAAGAATAAGTTGGCTGTGCACAGAAAAGCCTTGACATTGCGAACATGGTAAAATGACCGATCGATATAGGCAAATGCGTCATTTGAGAGCAATGTCGATGGCCTTGAGTTTGATTCACGGTTCAAGGTTTAATAAATGTAGTAACTTATGAGTACCTGTTGATTTGAACTTTAATGTAGAGGTCAATAACATTTCACATTTAAACATGTTTGATGTCTATGAACGTTAAAATAGACATAGCTACCAACTGCGCTGCTACGAGCAGATCAGCCTTTAAATAGTTGACTAATATAATTATGGCAGCATGTAATGTTATTGACATCCATTTATCATAAGTATACAGTTATAGACTAAATAAAACAACGTTAATAGGCTCTTGCGAGAATCGGAGAATAAAACAATTAGATAATTTATACTTTTTATAAGTGAATGAAAATAGAATTAGCCCTTCAGACAAAATCATCTATCAATATGATTTTTTAATAACCTCTTCTAAATAACTTTCCATAAGATCGGTCGACCATCAAATCAGCCGTCATTCACTGATTACTGAAAGCCTGCCTATAATTCCTAGGTCGTCTTACTACTTCTACTACTCGCTGACCACTATTATTAAGCATCGTATCGAGAGCTTCTATTGCTTTCGACTCGACCAAGAGCTATTTGGACTCATCAAGGTCTATTTTCTGAAGACGGTTCCGGAAGTGAGTTTTTTCATAAAAAGGCCAACCTCTGTCCCCTTGAATACATACATCATGGTATGTGTTAAGACTTTCGACGATCGGTCTTCATAGGATCTTGGTTTTTTTTTAAAGGAATTGAAATGCGTTCTTATTGTATAAAACCTGTTGCGATCGGGTCGCCGATCGGCAATGTGTAATGGGTGACGTATTACGCAGTGGGAACTAAATTTACCTACAATGACTACCCACTCAAATTATTTGTTTCTTTTACCGATATATGTAAGTACACCGGTGATAGATGATGTTGTGATGTGTGTGATTTTGTTGTCTTATTAATTTAGAATAATTAACTTTTTAAGTATGTATAAATATGTATTAGTGATGACACAGATGCACGGAAGAACTCGAATGAGTTTATGCGGCATCTTACTGTTTAAACTGTGTACCTTATGCTGTAACAAAAAAAAAAAAAAATGGGGAATAACTCCTCAAATGTTGCATATTAGTTCATAATTTATGGTGCTTTAACCCGGTGAGGTAATTATTGCAAAAATCTCGTGTCAAATATCGCCAGTACAATATCTTCTGTATGTAATACGCAAAAGGGTTCACCGGCAGTATGCTTTTTGTTCTATTTTTGTAGGTAATATCATCATACATGTATGTGCTTATGTCGTGTCGGCATAATCACATATATGATTATACTACCTCGGCTGGATTACCTTTGAATTTTTCTTTTAAAATTTAACCACATGATCTTAAAATTCATGCATCTTAGCAATCAAAGAGACATGATGTGGCTTTATAAATATTGAATAGCTTTTCTACAATCTACTGTCAATACATATTTTATATTATAGCTATCTATAAATAATGTGGGTTTAGGACGCCTCTTGGGACAGTGACGCAATCAGTTCTCACAGACCCGCCCGTTTCTCAAACAGTCCATATGGCGCTAAGACGTTGCGTCATTCTCTATCTACGTACGGTGAAAATTAGAAAGCGGTTCACGTTAATTTAGCACAGTGCATGCGGTAACATACATTCACTAACTCATATTTTGTTAGATACGCGATGATGGGTAGATTTTATTTTTATTATATTAATTTTCACTTATATTAAAGGGCAAGTTAAAAAAACAGCCAACGGACGAGAATAGGATTAAAAGGAATGTTACTACATAAAAAACATTGTTTGTTAATTCATATTTTATACACTGCTCAACCGGTTAATTGTCATGAAATTTCGCACATCATTTGCAGGGATACAGTAAAGTATGTACCTATAACTTTATTTCCCAAAAAGTTTTCAAGGTATGCAAAATTTACTTTTATAAAAATAATTTCATTATTATTGCTATTAGGAATAATTCCATCTAATACATGCTTGTTTAAACAGAATTTATTTTGAAAATGCAACTGCCCATAATGGTTAAAAAATAAAAAAAGCCAAACATATTACTAAAAAACTATTTTTTAAATAAAACAGGTATGAAAAATAAAGAAACGAAACAGTACAATTTAAGACGCAGGCGCAGCCGAAAAAAAAGGTCATTAACACTACGTGAGACATTCGCGTTCGCTCAATATAGCGGTCAACGCCCCCACAAGTGGTCACTCACTATAACAATGAGATTTGCAGCCGCTCTTATTTGAATATATCTCACGGGCTACATCTAAATACCTTTATGACTGACTATATAAAATACTATACTTTTTATAAACTTATACTAAAACCCGTGCAGTAATTGTCAGTTGTTAGAGTCGATAGCAGTCAAGCTTGTGCACGAAGAGTTCCGTATCGTACAAGATTTACCACTAAGTTTGAATCATTTAGCAAAAGAAACAAGGCTTAGACAATTTATAGTAATTTTGGGATATTTTAAGCATAACCATTTTTAAGCAAGCATAAGCATTGCATTTTTTAAAATAGTTTTTTTGGGGTAAGGGCTTCACAATCTATATAAATTGAAGTAGTTAGTAGTGTAGCTTAATGAAAACACAAAGTAAAAAAGCCCAGTGACCTCCCTATCATAACGTGGGGCAGAGATAGGACTCTTTTACCGATAAAAATCTAATGATTTCACAATATTTTTTGTTTATTTATAATTATTAATTGTTTAGGGCCGTTCCGACACAACAGTGTGTTATAGTTTATTATAGTGTATTATACAGTGTTATAGTTTTATAATAAACAAAAAAATTTAACAAAAAAAAACCGACTTCAAAAAACACTATTCCAAAACAAATTAATATGCACTCAAAAGTAAAAAAATAAATGCATATTCTTCTACAAGTTAATAATCAACTTACTTTTTCTACTCATGTATATGTAGGTACGATCTATGTGTTTACCACGCAAGAAGGTAGGTAAGTACTACCTGCCCACTTCAAATCTAACTTAACATATACCTGTGAATAACAAACAACGATCAAAATATTTATTTGAGTTCTCCTAAGTAAAATTAAATGAATATAATGTATTTACAATTATTGTTATTTTTGGATTTGCTAATATTGCAATTTTGTTCGAGGTGAGCAAATTAAAAACGATCGTAACTTGTAGGTAGGTATATCACTTGGGACTAAATCTCGGCATTGTGAACCGGGGTCCAGTCAGTAACTGCGTGTCGGTGGCAGGGCGAGTCGATCGTGGACCTGAGGTGACTCCCTCGGTCATCGACCAAGTGTCAGGATGGAGGGTGGCGAAGGAGGTGGTCACTTTGTCGGACCATCGCCACATCGTTTTCGATGTGGCCATCCGCCGCCCAGCTGCCCTCCGCGACGATGGGCCCTCAAACGGATGAACCGAGATATGCTCGTCGCCGCAGCCATTGTCGCGGATTGGCCAGAGGAAGAGGAAGAACGGGTCTCGTCATTACTGACGTCTGTGACGCGTCGATGCCACGGATCAGGCCGAGGGGTACCAGGGGTTGTACTGGTGGACGCCGGAACTCGAGCAGCTTCGCACAGCGTGCTCGAGAGCCCGTCGCCGGTTTCAGATAACCCGAAGGAAACAGAGAACCCCAAGAAGACGGCGAGCCGCGGAGATCGCCGAAGTGAGGCGGGAGTAGGGCGCTGCCGCGAAGGCTGTTAGCCTTGCGATCGCGGATGCCAAGGCTCGGTCCTGGAAGGAGCTAGTAGAGGGACTGGACAGGGATCCCTGGGGGCGCCCGTACAAACTTTTACTGGGCAAGCTCAGACCGTGGGTCCCGCCACTGACGCAGACCCTGGACTCTGTGTTTGTGGTAAGAGTGGTAGATGGTCTCTTCCCCAGGGACCAGGGTAGTCCCTTACCCCCTCTATCACCGTCGAAACCGGTTACATCCGGTCCGACGACTCTGAAGTGACGTGACGGAGGAAGAGCTGGACCGAGCTGTGAGGCGACTCGCCTCCCGGGATCCCGGGACCTCTGGTAGCGGATTAACTGCTGCGGTAGGCGATAGGATGGCGGCCTGGTAACAAAAATGCGATCGGGCCGCAACATATTATAACGATTGAGCCGACAGGCGGGAGAAGCCCGCAGCTTCCCCGGGGTAGGACCTAAAATAACATGGTCCGGGTCCTCCTCAGAGTAGGGCGCCTGAGTCCGGCCGGAATTTTATTAAAAACTATAAACAATTTAACAAAACACTACCAGAAAAACAAATAATTCAGTCAAAATAGACAAAAATAAGTCATAACTTATTGTTAGACAAAATTCGCATAGAGTTGAAAATTGGCAAGACGTTAAATACGTCATTATAAATAAAATGACAAAAATCCCCTTCGATCCTACTTCTGCAAAAGTTTTAGTCAAGGCCAAACGTACAAAA